CCCCAAAACCCCAAAACCCCAAAACCCCGCAACACTAAGAAATTGCAAATATAAAAATCATAAGAATGAATAATATTAGTTATAGTTAAATCTGAGCTGATCTTTAGTTAGAACGAAATAAATTAATTATGGACGACGCTGATCAACTAATCAAACAATAGCTTCTAGACACAAACTACAGTAATGATAATTATTTGATTAAGTTTTTTCTTTTTAGATTGTTTTTCATTTGAGAGTAAAGGCTCAAGAAATAATACCTCTGACTTGACTGCTGCTTAAACTCATGATTTGTTGAGATAATATAGATTGCTAAGTATTGATCGGCAATCATAAGTCTACACTAACAGTAATAAATCCAATTTCAAAAATTTCCTTGACGAAAAAAGAGCATCTCTTATTAGTAACAGTAATTCAATCTTTAGTCAGAAGTAATCGCTTTTGAAACAGCATAAAGCTAGATATCAAGTGATAGAAAAGTTGCAGTTGAATGAGCCAGAATATTTGAAACCCTGGGTGGCATAGTAATAAAATGGAGCTTAGTTCTAGAAACCACTTAGAATAAAGATAAAAAATGACTTTCAGAGTGGGAGCTTTCAAGTAAGGGAGTCTTAAGATATGAATAAAGATAATCTTACAACAAATCTATTAGATGTAAATATTAAAAAGAGGGCTTCTATTCAGCAAATAGCTAATAAGAATTTATATGCATTGATTCAGTAAAGCAAGTTCAAGAATAATTTAAATGTCAATTAAACAAAATTGAATCAAAATGATTATCATGTTCAAAGTAATTAGGCAAGTTCTAAGGATTTGAGATAATCTATAATGACATCACACACTAATACAAATACTATAGCGGATTAAAAGAGTACAGGAGGATAGATTAATAAGAAAATGTCACTTCTACTTCCAACTTAGTATTAATAATTCAATAAATACTTACCAGAGGAGAAGGAAATATATTAAAGAAGTCTCGTTAGCTTAGATATTTTCCATAACTAAATGCTCAATAGCAACTACAAGTTGAGACTTGATGGCTTCTAACAAGATAGTAGCACTCATAAAAAGACTTAGCTCTATGAATAATCCTTTAAAAACCTGAGAAAAATTCCAATTGGAATTTAGGATAGCTTACCTAATTCAAATTAAAATTCTTAGAAGAAAAAGGAATCATCAATTCGTAAGAGAAGGTAAATAAATTTAGCTTAGATTATTGGCTAACCATCTCAAACTCCTACTACTATGACTACTAAGGAATATAACAATCTTACAAAAGATGAAAATATTTTTAACAGTGGATTAAAGCATAACAATGTTTACCTAATTCCTCATCAATTCATTCCACACTAGATCTGAGACTTATCACTGTCTAAATCTAATGCAAAACTGAAAAGAAAGTTCACTCCATTAAAACATCTATTAATCAATGAAGCTCATAAAAATATAACTTTACATCACTAGACTTCCTAAAACATTGATTAATAGAGAGACAATAATGTTCTGAGCAGTGTAAGAACTAGATCATAAATTAGTTGTGGAAAAGAAATTGTCATTACAGGACCTAGATACGATGACGGATAATCTAACTTCAGCTCAAATAAAGCTTCATTTGCTTTCTTACCTAGTATATTACATGAGAATAGAAAGGACTCACTAGAATCACTCAATCTTGATGGCAAAATAAATTTAAAGTAGAAACTCAAGATCAAGAGAAGATTAGAGCATAGACATAAATCTAAGCAAAAGTCTAATAACAGAAACTAGGGAAATATTTTGCAAGAAGTAAATTTATAATCGATTACTGATACGAATACTCTAAATTAGTAAAGTCTAACAAAGCTTTGATTTGATCAACATTATTCAACGAAAAGCACTCTAAATTGAAATCACACTATTTTTATTAATGAATATTCTTGATTAGTTATTCTATATCAATTAATTTCCTTAATACTAAATTTTAATTAAAGACGGGGTTTTGGGGTTTTGGGGTTTTGGGG